ATTATTTTCAGATATTATACCAAACAAGTTGTTATTAATTCTTTTTTGGGGTTTCCTAAATAAGTTCACTTTTTGACTATTTGGACTAAAAGGTTGAGGAAAAAAAGATGGTTGTTTAGGATAATTTTTTGACTTTTTACGAAAAAATGTGTATTAAAAAATTGTATAAATTAGTGTATAGGAGAAGATTGGATGGAATAGGTGGTACGGTGGGCTGAATGCAGGGACAACGTTGGTAGAGGAGACGCTGGGAAATGTTTCCCTGCTTTTTGAGCATTGAATTGGAGGTGCTATTCGGCCCGTGCGGACCCACCACGGGTTCCGTTTTGCTAATCAAAATCGTCAATGTATAGAACTCGTCAAGTACTATCTTCTTGTAAAACATCACGTTGATCGGATATCGATAGCTATCTGATCGGGTTAGTTTGTTTTCAACCGTTAACTATAACACCATCCATTGTATAAATTTTAACTAATTTGATCATATAATTATCGATATCTGATCAATGTAATTTTTCACAGGCATATAGTACTCGACGATTTCTACACATCAAACGGTTCAGATTATTAAAACCGGAGCCGCAATGGGTCTCCATGAGCCGAACAGTATTGAGTTATTAGTGCACCTAAATAGAAGCTCGTTTCAAAAAAGTGAGCTTTGCTTGCAATACATCAGAGTTGTTTGAGAATTTATTTTGTGTAACATTATTTTTTTAATATTTTTTTGTGAATAGTAATAACTTTTTAACTTTTTGAGTAATTTTTTTAACTTTTTGGATTTTTTTTGAGATCCCAAACTAAGCCTAATTCTTTTTTCCTTTTCATTAAAGAAAATGTATAATTATTAATTTTTAACTTTTTTTATTTCATGTTAGCCGAAATTTTTTTTCTTAACTTGTTTTTTTCATTTTATTAAAATAATGGTTTTGTTATTAATTTAAATTTTTTATAATTAATTTGTAGAGGACATATTTGTATTAATTTACTTTTCTCATTTTCAAACAATTTGAAGGCTTTGTTATTAATTTTAATTTCTTTTTATTAATTGTTTTTTTTGTTCATGTTAACATCATGGTTTTGTTATTTTCAGATATTATACCAAATAAGTTTTTATTAATTTTTATTTCCTTTTTATTAAAAAAAGTATAATTACTAATTTTCAACTTGTTTTATTTCATTTGAGCTGATTATTTTTTTTAACTTGTTTTTTTCATTTTATCAAAATAATGGTTTTGTTATTAATTTAAATTTTTTTTATTAATTCATAGGCTTTTTTAATTTTAATTTTAATTTTAATTTTTTCATTTTATTGAAATGGAGGATTTGTTACACATTTATTAATTTCTTTTTATTAATTTTTGTATGAATCTTTTTTTTTAATTTTATAATATAACTCACATATTGTTATAACATTGTCACTGGTTAATTTTACAGTGCATAAAAAAAACTGACTATTCATTACGTGAATACAAAAGATTACAGCAAAATAACAAAATAAAATAACCACAGCAAAATGAGAAAACAAAATAACCACAACAAAATAAGAAAACAAAATGTAACCATAGCATGTATAAACCATTTAAACGCTCATCGAAACAAGTTAATCATCATTGTCAGGTGGTGGTAGAGGTGAAGGGAAGTAGTAATGGTACACCTGAGTGACTCGATAGTCAATCTGATCAATGTGGTTCCTTGTCACTTCATCACGTCTCCCTGAGTCTACACGAAACTCACCAAATTGTTGAATTAGTGAGTTCTGAGTGGCGGCAAATTCATCAAATCGAGTACCCAATGTATTGACCTGATTAGCCATTTGTTGTTCCCATTGTAGGCGTTGATTGTACCGTTCTTGTTCCAACGCTAAATAATTAGTACAGTATTGGGGTTGTTCATTTTGTGGCATAACATTGTTATTGGGTTCTTCCTCATCAGGTATTGGTTCAATTTCAAAATTAATAGAGCCTAGTAAATTTTCAGCACCACCAGCTCGGGTTGGTGTGTACTCAGAAATTGGTGAAGTAATTCTCATATGTACATCACCTTTAAGGTTGACATGTTGTGCTTTGAAAATTTTGGTTAACAAAGCTCCAAAAGGTAGTGACCAGCCATTCAGATTACCAAGTTTTGCAACCATCATTTCTCTCAGTAATATGAAACATAAATCTAATTTTTGTCCAATTTCAAAACAATATAACAAATAAACATTAAAACATGGAACATCATCAAAATGTCCTTTTTTGGGAGTGACATTTTCAACTATCCATCGATGAAGAATACGAAGGTAGGGCTTTAAATGTCTGGCTTGTAAATTAGTACCGGTGAATCGGCTCTTACAAATTGTGGTATAAATCTCAGGTAGATCACCAACAATGTTAACTAACTGAGCCTCAGTTTGAAAATGGCATTGCAAATCTCCTATTTCAACTCCAATAATTTGTGCAAAAGTGCGGGGGTTGAGTGTGATTACTTTCCCCTTCACATAAGAGGTTAGACTGAACAGTTCCACTTGTTCCACAGCAGATGTCAATTGAAAGTAAAATAAATGTACAAGACGAGGATATACCTTATGTGGTAAATTAGTTAAAGGTAATCATCCCATTGTATCCAATCTGCCAAGTAACAGTGGATCATATTGAGAAGGTAGATTTACCTTTCTCCCCGTAACAATTGGTCCATTAGCAAAATTTGAATAAGTTTGTTCATGATTATATGTGAGAAAAACAACAGTTGGATAGTCATGATGTTGTTGCTGTGGTTCACGTTGTACAAGGTTAGAGGTTTCGCCACGTTCGGGTCTTGCTCTTTTTGTTCTCGACATGATGACTGCAAAAGTAAGAAAATTGTATGAAAAATGTATAGTAAAATGTATGATGTTGGTGTGAAAAAAAGGAACAGATAGGCAAATTGAGCATCTGCTAAAAAGCAACCAACAGATAGAGAAACTGAGGGAGGTAGGCGAACTGGTGGCTGAACCGGATGACCGGCGGGATGACCAGCCGATTGTCCCGTATGGTGATTCTTCGCCTGCAATTCACCTTCCTGCAACTCAGCTCTGAAGCTATCAATAATATGAACTGTGCTTCAAACTAACCTCTTTTCTCTTCCTTCACACGGATATGTACACTAAATGTAGTTAATATTATAGTGTGATGGAGTTGCTGAAGGTGTTGGGATGAGATGGTGAAGATGGTGTAGTTAAACAAATGCAGACTCAGGTGACTTATATAAAGGCTGAGGTTCAGAAGGTCCAGAAGGGTTTTTTTTTTTTGTTTTTTTTTTCTTATTTACTTTTCATTTCTTATTGATTTTTTTTTTGTTTTCCTTATTTTTAATTTCATTTGTATAATGATTACTGACTATGTGTGCAGGTTTTTGGCTTCTTCTTTCTTTTCTTTTATCGCACAGTGTTGAACAGACACCCAGGATAGGAGGGGTAGGTGTATTAGTTGGGTGAAATTACAGTATTATCCTTTTCATTTTGTTCTTACATAACAACCTGCCATTCAAATCAAAAGGGGCGAATTGGTCATTTTGTACACAAATATCACTCCCTTTACGGGTGGGTGACATTCAAAGTACAATAATGCACCAACAAAAAGAAACGATTTTTTTTATTAAATTAATAAAATGTAATAAATGAAAAAATATTGATAATGTTTGGTAACGTTTACGTTTCGGTTTGTATTTAAAAATATTAAACACACTGATTTTTGTTAATTTTTATCAATATGTATTCTTCAAAGTTGTTGGCTTCAACAAAATTTTTGAAAAATATTACAAACGTATTGTACAAGATGTTTGTACAGGCCTAAAAAATAAATTCATAGAAAAATTAATTGACACAAAATAATTGATATAGAAGTTATTTTTAAAAAAAAATTATTTGAAAAAAAAAATTTATTCAAAAAAATTACGTAAAAACAATTAATTGAAAAAAAAAATCATTTTTTCATTTGAGTATTTTAAAAATAGTTTGGTTATGACTGTTGATTAAAAATACGGATATCGATATATGAGTTGTGTGTTTGATTCAAAATTAATATGTTAAATTAAGTTTTGAAAACTCATTACCAAACAAATTTTCTTATTTCATTTGTCACATCAAACTTTCAAAACTCAATTCCGCATACAATTCAAAACACAATTCAACATTCTATTCAAAAACCATAACCAAACAAATTTTCTACACTTAAATTATAATTTCACAACTCACAAACTCAAAATACAACTCATACTTTCAAATCATATTTACAAAACTCTACCAAACGCAACCTAAGTCTCTAACATGTTGATCTTATTTGGTTTGTCTCTTGAGAAACAATATTTAAAAATTTATTTAGTTGAAAATTTTTGAAAAAAATTTAAAATTACTTTTCTTTTTGTTACATATCAATCAATTACATTTTCTCTTTTCTCTCTCTTTCTCTCACATCTTACATATTAATTAATGAGAAAATAACTAAATAGTGGGGCAGTGAGATTTCTTTTTTCAAAATAATGATGAAGTTTATAAATTTTAATTATTAAAATCATAAATTTTTTCATTTGTAAGTAATTATTTTTATGAACTACATTTAATTTGTAATTTTTCCTTAATTAATTATTTTTTTCACACTTATCTATTTAATTATATAAAAAATTAAATCGTTCAAAATTCTAAAATAATTTTTAAAACATACAAATAAATAAAATTTTAAATTTATGAATTATTTTTTAAAATTATTTCATAAATACAAGTAAAAACATGGCTATAGTACAGTAGTTCATAGGGTGATTTTAAGAGGAATACTAGAGATCTTAAATATTTTATTAAAAATTTTACTAAATATCTTATGGTTGTGGGATCCACACAATATGGATCCATATAAAACATTTAATAAAACTTTTGATAAAATTTTTAGAATCCCTAACATTTTTGTGATTTTAAAGTACCAACGGGTTCTCTGCCCCCTCGTCTCTGCGTCAAATAGTTACCCTCCATTCATTCACAAAACTACCGCCACCACCTTTCTTTGACCACCGCCACCGCCACCGCCACCCTCCTCCGCCGCCGCATGTAAACAACTCCAGAAAACGATACTTTTACTGGCCCAGATCTTCCAGCTCCCTTCCTTCCAAAAACAGCATCCCCTTATGCGGGACCCACATTTCCGATGAGGATATAAAAACCCCTCCCTCACATTTCAAGATCAATTCCAACCCTACGTTTTTACATAATACCTACATACATACTACATTTCTTTCTCTTCTCTATACACACACACATCTCTCTCTCTCTCTCTCTCTCTCTCTATATATATATATATATATATCAGCAAGAGCCTTACACCACTCTTTCTCTCTCCGCAGCCGTTTGCTTCTACAAAATTCCTTGTTTTTTTTTTCTTCTTCCAAAAGCGTTTTTTGCATTTCTTCGTTATTGGTTTCTGTATTGGGTTAATCTTTGAGACCCATTAGTTTATTGCACTTTTCTTCATCTGGGTGCATCAAATTCCGAATCTTTTGCCGGATTCTTTTCTGGGTTTTGTTTTGATTTGATTTCAATCGGTTTGTTTGATTTGTGATTTGGGGGAGTGAGTGGGATTCGCATTGTTTTGGGGTTCTGTCAATGGGCGCTTTGGACGAGGGGCACTTCAATGTGGAGCTAGAAGAGAGCGGAGTCAATATTGAGCTGGGTTTTGAGGAAGAGCCAGAGACCGTGGCGGCCATTGAGGATGCTGTGAAATCCCTGTTGCAAGGTTTGGGTGAAGATATCAATCGTGAAGGTCTCCGAAGGACACCACTTCGCGTTGCCAAGGCCCTTCGAGAAGGAACCGGAGGTGTGATAACATTAGATTCCTCTATCTTGGATCTCATGGTTTTAATTTCTTGTTTTGTTTTGAAAAACTGTATCTTTTCACTGCCTCAGTTTTTTGATTGATGTATGTACTTTATCATGGTGCTTATTACTGAAACTTAAACAGTTAAGCTCTATGCAACCAGAGATGGTCCAAATCTTAACATGTAGTACTAAAAATATAATAATGATAAATTAAATTTGTCCATCCCATAGCCTAAAACATTAGACCTTGTAGGGTGGTGCATGTATTTTGTAGAAAATTATTTGGTGGTATTGGGACAAGTTTAGGCCAACTTTGATTTTTATTGGTTAAAAAGTAGGACTTAGCTTTTAAGAAACAACTTGATACTGGTAAATAATGTGGAGCATTTCTCCAAGATAACCAAATAACTTCTAGTATTTTGTAGACACTGTCATCAGATACATGTGGTTTCAGCTTTTATGATTTTGGTGGACGTGTATGTGTGCTTGCTTTCTTCAATTACTGCAAGTGTGTGCTTGTATGCGGACTTACTACCTCTCCCATCTATAATGGGGGTGCCTTGTGCATTGGTATGATATGCCTTTGAAATAGTAATATTTTTGTTTAGAGTTTTCCAAATATGTCCCTTTTAGCAGAATGTGCTCCTTAGTTTTCTAGCCTCCCACACCTTTGTTCCCGTTCTCTTTTGCCTCAAAATTAACTAATAGGTGGGCGGGAAATTTGTAGATAGTTTTTTTTGGCATGGTTGGTTGAGGAGTTGATCATTTTGGAGAGAAGGAAGATATGTGTGGACCATTGGGCAGTTGAGTTTCTGTTTGTTGCTAAAAGTTAAGAATGTAGTTTGGATTGCTGTTTTTCGTAAGGAACAATAAAACTAATGGATGAATTTGTTGTGTCTAGATTTGCTTGTTATGTTTGGCAGGGTCATAATGTCACTACATAATGTTTTGTTGAGAACATAGTGATGTTGATATTGTTACAAATTGGGTTGGTCAATGAAGGCTTGGTGTTAAAGCATTAGCATCACAAGGAAGTTCTCATGGTGGTATGGTTATCTAAGAAGTACAAACACTTATAAAATGGTGGCGTAACCGTGTTGTGTTCATATCGGATACCAACACTCTTTGAACATTTCTCGACACGTGTTTGACACTCATCTAAACGTATTTTATTTTCTTACAAAAATTTTAGACTCAGACACTCTTCGGCCAATTGGAAGACACACGTATTCATTTCTTAAACATACATGTGCATTGCTTAAACACACACAAAGCTAACTACAAGTTTGAACAAAATAACTTAGTACAATGATAAAAGAAAAATAATGTCAATTTGTAGAAATTAGTATTATATTGTATTTATTTATTGTCTTAAAGTGATAATATTCTTATATATAACATATAATAAAAATATAAAATTATATATTATGTGCGTGCCCCCATGTGTCATGTATTGTATTTTTTGAAAATTACCGTGTCGATGTGTCTGTGTCGTATTGTGCCATGTCACGTGTACATGTCCGTGCGTCTTAGGTGGTTATTATCACCTAATTATCGTGTTTTTTTAATCAATAATGTTTTTGGTGGGTTTGTTTTTCCCCATAAAATTGTTCTGTAACCAAGTTGCAGATATGAAATTATGAATAGACTTGTTTAATTCGTCAATTAAATAATGATAAAAGTCTAGATAGTAAAATTTATCCACAAAATTTCAGCTCTAGGGGAAGATTCTAGTGCTGAATATGTGTGAGTGTGCGATCTTATATGTTATGTGGGAATACCCTAGGAGAGGCTGGTTGGTGGAGAAGGATAGTAAGTAGAGGAGAGAGGAAGGAAGAAGAAGAGAAGGAAAAAAAAATGCTTTCTCTTGTTTAGGTGTGGGTGCAAGAGAGGACATAACATTTCTCTTTTTTTCGACCTTGTCCAACCAAAAGATGGTCCACTCACTTGATGGTCCAAAATCTGCAATGGATCCAATCTGATTCGTGTGATCTGTATGCTTGTTGCTATATTCTATAATTCTGCTTATTCACATTACTCACTTATAAGCATACTAGTTCATGTTATGTGACAGGGAACATAGGAACATATGTGGGTGTATAACAAAAGAATGAATTATAAAAATAAAATAAAATAAAATAAAAAGACAACTATTGCTACTTCTATGATCCAAGTAACCCAAAAAATTTCTGAAATTTTGATTATTAATTTAATAATCAACTTCTGTGCTAATATTCTTTCAAGCAGTATTTGGGATTCATCTCATATACAATCAGCTTACTGAACTTTTTTTTTTTTTCTCCTTATAGGGGAGTCTTTTGTTTGTGACAAATTCTCCGAGTTCTCATTTTACATATGTTTCTATTAAGTTCTTTGGTGTTTGGTGCAGTATGTTGGCAGAAAGTGACAATTTCACATTATTCAATATTTGATAGAACACGACTGTTCTTGGTTTCTCTAGGACATCTTAGATACCATGTATCATTCTTTTTGGTTTTCCATAATATTTAAGTCAGTATCATTTTTTCTTTATGTTTATTTGACTGAGAACACCCAGTTGTTAAGCCAAATATGCACGTCCAAAGTGCCTCAGAATGGGAAAATTGGATTATTGATATTTCAAATATATAATACATTCTTTCAAGATTTGATTATATGACAGTAGATTGTTTTTCTGATATGCCTGCAATCAAACTAACAAATATTTCTTTTAAATCCTCACTGTACATTTAATTTTTTGCAGAATGATCAAATACCTTTTTCTCATACTATCTGATATTGTATTAGGCTCAATCCTGTTTTCTTAAGATGCGTGGAACAGAGTAATTTCTGTTTGTTTCAAGTACTATTTAAATTATTGATGTTCAGGCTTCAATGCATCATTCAAGTAAGTGGCTAGATATAATACCTATGGTTGCTAGAATCTTACAATTCACGATTTGGTTTTATATGATTCAATACGAGTTTCAACCAAAACAATTCGATTTATGCTATTGAATTGAATCTTAAATTGAGAGAATCTTATGATTCAATTGCGATTCAGTAACGATTCATTCCAATTCACTACGATTTGTTATGAGTCGCTACGATTCAGTTTTGTTTGCACAATGCATGAAACGTCATCATTTTAGCAAAAAAAAAATGACATCAATTAATTATATTGATATATGTGGTTTTATATGTAAATAAATAAATAGAATTTAGCTATATTGATATTTATTTTATTTTAAATACTATGTGTATATTTTTATATGTATATACATATATAAAATTATATTTTATGCTAAATAAAGTGAATTTTACGATTCAAGATTGGTACTATTCAACGATTCACTATTTTATCAAAACTATCCCTAATTTGATTTACAATTTGACAACAATGATAATGCCATTTACACTTGTCTCTGTTATTATTGACTTGGAGTTGGAGGTATGTGTTACGTTTTTAGTGATTGACAATCCTTTTCCTACTTTTTTTTCTCAGGTTACCGACAAAAGGTGAAAGATATTGTCCAAGGCGCATTATTCCCTGAAGTAGGATTGGAAAGCGGAATTGGTCATGCTGGAGGAGTGGGTGGGCTTGTGATTGTTCGAGATCTTGATCTCTTCTCATACTGTGAGTCTTGCTTGCTTCCATTCCAGGTCAAGTGTCATGTTGGGTATGTCCCATCTGGGCAGCGTGTTGTAGGCCTAAGTAAGCTCTCTCGAGTGGCTGACATATTTGCCAAACGACTACAAGACCCACAGCGCCTAGCAGATGAAGTGTGCTCAGCTTTGCAGCATGGAATCAAGCCAACAGGTGTTGCTGTCATTCTACAATGCTTGCATGTTCATTTCCCAAATTTCGAATCAGTGTATCTTGAATCATCAAATCACCATGGATGGGTAAAAGTGCTGGTTACTTCAGGTTCAGGAGTTTTTGAAAATGAGAATTCTGATATTTGGGGTGATTTTCTGAGTCTTCTAAAATTCAGAGGCATTAACGTTGAGAAAGCGCATCCCAGAGATTCTTCCACAAAATGTTGGTGCCCGTCTCAAGCTACCTCAAAAACAGGACCAGCCAATTCAGGAATGGTTGCTGCAGTAGCTGCAATTCTTCGGTCTTTGGGTGAAGACCCATCAAGGAAGGAGCTTTTAGGAACTCCTACTCGCTTCGTAAAGTGGCTGATGAATTTTAAAAATTCTAATTTGGAGATGAAACTGAATGGGCTTGTTCTTGGTCGAATTGATACTCTTAAATCCATTGGTGAACACATCAATTCTGAGCTAAACTTGTCATTCTGGTCCCAGTGTGAACATCATCTACTTCCGTTTCACGGTGTTGTGCATATAGGATACATCTGTAGTGAAGGAGTCAATCCAATTCGAAAGCCTCTCTTACAGTCAATAGTGCATTTCCACGGTTTCAAGCTCCAAGTACAGGAAAGGCTCACAAGGCAAATAGCCGAGACGGTTTCATCACTACTTGGTGGAGATGTAATGGTGGTGGTAGAGGCTAACCATACTTGTATGATCTCTAGAGGGATTGAGAAGTTTGGAAGTAGTACTGCCACAGTTGCTGTCTTGGGTCGCTTTTCAACTGACCCTGCCGCGAGGGCAAAATTTTTGCAGAGCATTCCAAACTCTACTACTTCTGGAGGATGATGAACTCTAATCCAAGGACCGCTTATGTATTATTTTTTCTCTGGCAAATTTGCCAGTCTTTTTCAATTCCTTTCTTCATCTCTTTGGCCATCTGTTGTGGCTGGCTGAGACAATTCGGAAGATCTCACTGTGACTTTAAGAAATGTGGGTCTTGCTCATAGTTTTTCTTGGTGGCAAAAGTGTTCCAATTGAGTCAGAAAAGGTATGATAGTTGGAATCCAGATCCTCGGCCGCCCTACCCGGCAGCCCCCCAAAACGACGTCGTTTTGGAGGGTTTTTTGTTTTTGTTTTTTTTTTTTCTTTTCTTCTTCTTCGTTCTTGATTTCTCTCTCTTCTTCGCAGAACCAGAGGGGAGGGGAGGGGAGGGGAGGGAGGAAGGAGGAAGAGAGAGAGGAAGGGGAGGGGAGGTCGTCGAGCTCGCCAGCCGGATTCGCCGAAGACTCGCCGTCGCAGGTCCGATCGTCGCCCGACCGCCGTCGCCTCCGCCTCCGCCCCGCCTCCGCCTCCTCCTCCTCCTTCCCCACTGGTTATGGCCCCCTCATTCCCTTCCTCCTCCTCCCTCCTCCTTCCTCCCCCGTCCTCTCCTTCCTCCCTCTCTTCCTCTGCGTTTTTTTTTTTTTTTAAAATTCGCCCCCAAAACGACGTCGTTTTGGGGGCTGCCGGGTAGGGCGGCCGAGAATCCGGACTCATGATAGTTGAGGGGTTTTCATTTTATTTATTATTTATTTATTTTCCATCCTCTACTTTAATGTCTGTAGCATAAAGGTCTTCTTTGCCAACATAATTGGCAGTGATGATATATATATATATATTTGACACTGACACTATTGAAGTTTCTCATATGTTGTGCCTTACTGCTAGAAATTTATTACACGGATCAATTTTATTATCCTTTTCTAAGTTGTCAATTTTTTCTTAATTGTCCATGATGGCTTCACAGTCCATATTTAAATCAGGAATAGTTGCCATTTTCAATGCATGTTTTGTACTAATCGTTTTGACCTCTGTATTAGAGTAGAGTTTCTGCAGAGGTATGCATATCAATTAATGAATTCATACATTGTTCTTAGATGCAAGTAATATATACAAAATGTCTTTGATATCAGTTGGACATCAACTGAACAATAAAAATCAAAAGGATGAAAAGACAATTGCTGTTGTGTAATTGTACCTCGGCACCTCAGCAGAATAAGCGCGGAGTATGGGTAGAAAACGTTTCCGACAAGTCATTGAATAAAAGAGTGAGAACTGGAAGAGAAACACAAAAGCTGGATGCTAGGGGAAACTCTTCAGGCCAAATATTCCAATGGCGATAATTTGCATCAATATCAGGGAAAATATTGTTGAACTATGTACTACTGGTCAAAACGTTCCACCAGTCTCAAACTTGGGTGCATAAACATTCAATATATTTTTGACATTACATCCACAAATTATAAAAATAAAAATTTATGAAGTCCAGCGTTGCAATTCAATGATCGTATTAACGTATACATCAGCAAATGTTCTAAAAAAAGCCTTTACGGTAGATAATGTACCCTAGGCAGAAGTAAACCAAGATAAATGGAAGAATTAGGGGTGCAAGGATGAAGTATGTTACACCAAGAAGTCCAAAAAAGGCAATTCTGGGAATTTCACTGTGGTAAGGAATTGAAGGCACCTCAAAATCATCATTAGTTTTCCTGAAAATCTTATTTTTATAGCATTGCAGATGAGGGGAAATAGTAGAACAACATCTGTAGATGAACCGGTCCAACCAGATGTCACAACATATGCAATGAAGAAGGAAGCCTGCGACGAAAATAACATTAGCATCATATCGTCGGAAGTACACCATGAAATCCAGGAAATGGTTTGAAAAGAGTTGGGATTGGAAGCCAAAGGACTAGTATACATATATAGTAGTAAAAAATGATAACTAAAATAGATAATAATATTGTAAAAGAAAATAGTATACAAATTAACAACCTTTGGTGTTAGATAAAATTGAAAACTAAAAACTAAAAGTTGAAAGTTGAAAGCTGAATATCATGTACTGAAAATTAAATGTTAAATTTTTTAAGTTGAAAGTTATTTGATAAAAATTAAGTGCTGAACTAAATAGATTGTTTGATATGTTCAAGATCAAATTTAAAATTTATTATTTTTAATTTGTAACTTCTAATTTTTTTTTTTATTTTAATGGTGGTAGCGGCACAAATGGCAATGGTAGTAGAAATACAAAGATTGTGGTTGTAGTGATGGTGGAGGGGTAAAATGGGGTGGTGGTGATAGTGATTGTAGTGGTGGAATGATGGTGGTGAGTGTGGCAACGGTGATAATGTGTATAGCAGTGAAAGGTATAGTCATAATGGTGGTGAAGAAGTGGTAGCAATGACAATGGCGACTGTGGTGGTATGAAGATAGTAGTGAAATAATAGTAGTAGGGGTGATCACGGACCTGACTGATTCTCTACAACTGACCGACTCAACCCAATTCACGAACTTTTAAACGGTTTCAATAATATAGGCGAACGAATGTAGATGAAAAATTTTCAAATCCTCTTATGATCTGACGGATGGCGAATGAGAGACTACCCACTCAACCCGATCCGCCAACCCCCTTTGTATGTTAAAAGAATGACATTTTATTTAGAAATATGAAAGTTTGGCTTTTAAAAAATGAAGAATAAAAAACTTTGGACTCCAATAAGGCCAAAAATAGTAAAATTTTACTCAAATATTTCAAAAAAAAAAGAAGCATAAAGCAATAAAGCTCAAATTGCCAAATCAATCCACATTTACCTGCCAACTCGTATGACCCACTCAATCTGCATCCGTTAACTAGACGGACGGATACAATTAATTTTTGCTGATCCGCCTAAGTTTAGACGAATGGCGGATGGAAGGTCACCGAACCTAATGGTAGAAGTTATGGTGATGACAATGATAGAGATTGTGGTAGTAATAGTGGAATCTATTCAACAATGACAATGATGATAGCGGTTGTGGTAGTAATAGTGGTGGTGGTGTGGAGTAGTGGTAACAATAGATGAAGTGGTAACGTGATGGTTGTGGTGGTGGCAATGGTAAGAGTGGCAACGATGGTGGTGGTGGAAAGGTCGAGGTAGTAGCAGTAGCAGTAGCTATAGTGGTAGCGTGACAGCGGCAATGGTAGCAGTAGTGATGGTGGTAGTAGCAATAGTTGTACTAGTGGCGTGGTGATGGTAGCGGTCGCGGTAGTGGTGGTGGTGGTGGTAAGATTATAACAATGTATATCAGCAAATATACATAAGTATTTATAATTCAGTCAAAATTAAGTAGGTTTCCTATCACTTAGGGTCTGTTTGGTAATCATTCCGTTTTCAGTTTTCAGTTTATATTTACAAAATTTAAAAAACTGTCATAAAAACATGTTTGATAATTTTTTTAATTTATAAATGGTTGTCTCAGATTATAAATTTGAGGAAAAAACGTAAACTCAAAAAATGAGTTTATGTTTTCAATTTTCAATTTTTTTTTCAAATAATTTATTTTCAATTTTTTTTTCAAATAATTTTTTTTTCAATAATTTTTTTTCAAATAATTTTTTTTTTCAAATAATTTTTTTTTCAATTATTTTTTTTAATTAATATTTTTTCAATTATAATGTGTGTGATCCCATTGTCATAAATAATAAAAATAAATATAAATATTTTAGGCCTGAACAAACATATTTTTTAGTTTATGTTTTTAATTTTTTAAAAAAGTTTAATTTATGTTTTTCTAAAAATAAACAAAAACCAATTTATAAAATTTTTGTAAACATAAACCAAAAACGTAAACGTTACCAAACGCTACCTAATTTTTTTTTTTAATTTAAAAATATATTTAATAGTCATTTAAATTATTAAATGATATCCATTATGCTTATCAAACGTGCTTAATTAATTTTCACTTAATACATTTAGTTTTAAGTGTTAAATTAGATTATCAAACACCTCCTATAAAATAAATACTTTTAGAATACTTTTATTAGCTAAACAATAACAGAAAACACAGAAATTACTTACTTAGAGAACACAGAGATTAACTAAAACTAGTTTTAGCACTATGAGCTTTAAGACACATGTGGCACTAGTGGGTGTGACAATATTATTTTTAAAATTACAAACCAAAATGGTGGATGTTTTAGATTGAAATCATATGGTGAAGCAAAGTTGCATATTATTTGGGTACAAAAGTGATGTACAATATATAAACATAAGAACACTCTACTCTCAAAAACTAGTTTTTAGGGACATGGCAGAGCTAGGAGTTCCAATTGCTCGAGTACAAAAGTAATATATAAGTAGAAAGGACCACATAATTTCACATTATTCTGATATAAAATTATTTTTTGGGTGTGAATTTTATTAAATTTTCAGGACTTCATTGATAAAACCCATATATACCTTGTTACACATTTTTCTATGCTTAACATGACCAACTAATTATCAAGCATTTGTCTTGCTTCAATAATATAAACAGCTTATTCTGGTCATTCCCCCAAAGATAAAAGGTGGCCCTATGAACCAACAATCCTTGTCATTATTCATAGCATCTCCAACATAACAAATAAATAAATAAATAAATCACGCACATCAACAATTTACATGTACAGAAAACTGCAGCTGACTACAATTATGATCAAACCTACAAGATGAGCAAGACATTAAAAAACTACATTTACAAACATCAAGTGAAAACAATATGAAGCACACAATGCAGAGCCACACATCATCAAATACCTTAATGCAGTATCTATCTGCATACCATGGTTCACATACACGCCCTCTTCTTTTAAACAAATAAACAATAGCCGAATAATTAAGTTCACGATATGATATGGGACACAACTTTTTTCCAGGAACTTTTTTCCTATCACTTTTTCACGACATTCAATTTTAAGGCTGCACGAGGATCTTCCCAGTAGCATGACCATCAATGCTCTTGGCCCAGGCATCTTCAGCCTTATTCAGAGGATATTGTGAGTCGATCGCCGTCTTAATCTTCCCTTCCTTCACCAACTTAACAAGATAGTCAAGGTTCTCACCTTTTTTTGGAACTACAAGCAATGGCTCCATTTGCTTCTTAGAGAATGTGAGTTTCTTCAAGGCAAAAGTCTTCATGGCACTAGCACTAGGAATCAAAACTATTACCTTCCCCTTTGCATTCAAATTTGGCTCAAAAGTAGACCAAGAAATGCCTGAGGCACCATGAATGACAACATCATATTTCTGTCCAGATGGACTCCTCAGGGCCGCCCCATCGGGCGTTTTATAGTCAAGAACCTCGTCTGCCCCTAAGCTCTTCACGAAATCCATGTTGCGGGCCCCACAAGTAGCCGTCACGTGAGTGTTTCCAAGCTTTGCTAGTTGAACTGCATAGTGACCCACACCGCCAGAGGCAGCCGTGACTAGGACATTTTTTCGCGGGCCCATTCCATCAAGCTTAAGCCCTAGGCATTGGGTTAGGACATGGTGAGCTGTAAGGGCTGCAAGGGGTAGGCCTGCACCTTCAGCTGCTGATACCTCCTGTGGCCTCGGAACTGTCAGACTCTCCTTAGCTACTGCAAACTCAGCTAGTCCACCTCCAGTCTGTCATTCAATCCCATGTACATTCAAAAATAAATTGACCATATTAAACACCAAAAAATGAAATGAGGTGATCCTAGAGAAATTTGTGAACTTCAATATGTATATACTTATCTAGTAACTGAGGTAATACTAAAGTTGTATTTGGATAATAGATTTGGGAAGAGAGAGGAAGTGATGAAAGAAATGGATAAAAAATTTAGCTTATATTTATTTCAAAGCCTAAATTTTCAAGTTACAATATTAAATATAAAGTAGAAAGGTGAACACAGCATGACAATAATGAGACTTACACAATCGCTAAGCAAGGCTACAACTTTGTCACCGGCTTTAAAATTCTCTACTCCAGATCCAACCTCAACTACTTCTCCTGCTACATCAGTACCTGTTCCAACCACAAGAAAAATTTCAGCCCGGAAAATAACCTGTGATTCATCTACAGTATACATTATTAAATACCCATGTGATTCATCTATAGTTTACATTATTAAATACCCAAGCATGAGACTTGAGGCATTGTAAACACCTGATCTAAGAATCATACTGGTGATCAACAAAAACCCTCAAATCAGGGGAAAGGGAAGTTTTCGATTACATATGTCCAATTGAACAAAAAGTTATCTCAAATTTATGAGTTATTCACATGCGACATGGGTACTAAACGAAAGAGAACACACTTTCAGATTATTTATGAGCCTAGAATTTACACTGAAGTAAGACAGCAAAACTCGATTTAAACCATCTCCTTACTCAGGAACAATTATGTAAATTTTACTCAGAGATATCACGACATCAGATAATCAAACCCACATAAAAATTTCTACTATACAAGTTGTCGTTCAGAATATATAAAAGCTTTCATGTCATAGGAGCTGTTTTGTATGAGATATTGCCTACTATTTTATGACTCACATTAAAAAATTCTACTGTATTGTGCCGACAAAGTTATTCGGTTTGTAATTGGAAAGACAAAGAGCTTCAGATTCTATACAAAACAGAAAATCAGCTTTATAGTTGAGGCAGGATAGTTCAGCTAAAAGAAGAAACAAAAAAAGAAAAAGAAAAGATATGTAGCAACATAAAAGCTTGTAATAGAAAAGACAGTGAAAAGACAATTTAGGTATAGATTAAAGATTAACTAACCAGGTACATGAGGAAATTTCCATGGATAAAGAGGACGCAGCATGCCTTTCTGAATTTTCCAATCGATTGGATTTAAGCTTGCTGCTTCTATTTTTATCAAAACCTCTTTCTTTTTTGGAGCAGGAACAGGAACTTCAACGTGCTGAAAGATACATCAAACACAAATTTAGTCCTATTGATAAGGCTGAAAATTCATTAATTACAATGAAGCCTACTTTCCAACTTCGGGAAGCATATATATGACTAATAAATTATGGATCTATACTAAAATGCAACCAGATTTTAGTATCAATCTCTCAAAACTAAATTAAGAGTTCAACTTCATGCTTTTTTCTACTTTTTCTCTCCATAGAATTCAAAAACTAACACAAGAATCCAAAATTAACAAAAGCGGATTCTTTGTTTTCAAACTTCTAATAAAACATCTAGTGTGTTGCCGTGTGTGTTTACAAGTCTTCTTAAGGTCTCATGTTGAACTAGAAATTTAACAGTTCAAAATCAAGCAAACAGAATCAGATCAAGAAATATGTAAATACTAAAATAAAATAGGTGAAAGAAAGGCCATAGAGGAAAAACCAACAAACCACCATCAAGATCGTCAGATTTTTCTTACCTAAATATAATCAGATTAAAAACACTAAATATAATCAAAATTTTCTCTTGCGGATCAACACATTAAATGCCACATTTGGGTGACCAAGGGATATATGCCTCTACTTCCCCCACCCACCTTAACAGCATAATCTGCTCTAGAAACTCATCGGAGCCCTACAAGCCTAGCGTCCCCAACCACCCATAGGGAAAATTTCAGGGTGGGACATAGCACCCTGGTTTTTAGGTTCTCCTTCCAGTTCTACTATGATTTTTAGCCTTTGTGTAAGGTTTAAATCTAAGTGGCAGTAGTTCAGTGCTACGATACCGCTGAAATTTTTTCCTCCGCATACAAATTCACGTGGTCTGCAACATTAGCAACTTAATCCAATGCAATTTTGTAATGGCCTAGACTCCACGGACCCAATTCATAGGGCAACATCCCTACAAATAGAAAGACCTCCCATTTTGCAGCAGAGTTTGGTCATTGGTGTGTAATTTCATTTTTAGCAGAAACCCCTTTCATATCCATTCTGAAGAATTATAACCATAAATTTAAAACAACGATAAATCTTCCAACTGTGCTCACACTAATTACACACACTAATAAAAATTTCAACCCCTTAATCAAAGAATACTCCTAGGATACAACAAAATTTACACTCATTAAAGTTACTGAATCTAACAATTTCACAAAAAGAAAATACCAAAAACTCTCAGAACCCATTCAAAGATTTAGAAATGATAAAAGCCAAAGAGAAAGAAAGGTTGAGTTGGAAACATGTGAAATTACCTTCAAACCAGCAGTTCCTCCTCCATAAGAGTCATACTGAACTGCGTGCATGAGCTTCCTTGCCATATTCAGACACAAATGGAGATTCTGAAGATTTCACAGACGGAACATATTAGTCAGTCCATATATTTATATACATATACAATAAGACTATAGAGAGAGGGGAGAGCAAAGTTAAGAATCAAACCAGGGGCTTGTTAGACTGCTTGGATCACCAACACAAGAAGCTAGGAATAATGAATTAATGTAATGTTTTTGTAGTGAAAGAATTATATTTTGTTGGTTGGATAAGTATGAGAATGAGAGGAAAAGAAGAAGAATAATAATTGAGGAGAGGGAAAAGATTTTTTAGAATATTAGTATTTGTTATGATGGGTACCTTCTTCATATCCAAAGTTCTCATACTATATATATATGTATATATTTATTTATTTATTTATATTCATGCTGTATTTGATGATGATTAGTTTATTATATATATAGTTTGATCGTTCAAAGTTGAAAACTTATCTGGATGATCTAGGATCCTATGAAAAAGTCATATATTGGGTAGTCTCGTTTCGCCAGCCAGCTGCTGATACCCTTCAAATCTCATAAGCTAAATCAATGATTAAAAAAATCATTCTCTATAGTTTCTCTGAGACTAACCTCAAAATTGGTAATTACTGGATAATATAATATATTAATATTCAAGAATTAATCCTGGAAAGGCTGATTATAATCTCATTTTGATTCTTTCATTTTTTATTGTAGCAGTTAATCTTTTTTATTTTAAGTCAATTTGAAATACCACTCTATAACAAGATTGATAGAAATTAAAAATACAGAAACAACATTGAGATTTTAATGAAAATGTAAAAATTAAAATTTTGATGAAAATATAAGGGTGCTAAATTGATAATGAAAATGTGACATCCAACATTTACACTTTAATTTAATTATTTTTATTTATGTTTATAGGACATTATTACTATTAAAAATAACAATACAAGGACTGGTGGTTCTTTCGTCTGGAAGTATTGCTGATACAGTTAGGATATTTTGTTAGGGCCTAATCTCTTTTTTTTCTTTTTTTATATCCAAAAATTAAATAAAAAAAATCATAAATGACTTAAAAAGACTCTGCATGTTTTATTGCATTTACTTTTTATACAAGATGTATAAAACTTTTAAATATTTTAATGTGTGTTTCATTCCAAAAAATATTTAATGAAAAAACATAAAGAGTAACATTTCAAGGGGGTGCTTTGTTCTGTCATTGTCTCCCGTATTATTTGATTGGAAGATTTGATAAAAGAAATTAAAAAAAAAGAAGAAAAAGGCAATGCAAGTTCACTTTTTGTTTGGTTATAATAAAAGACATGAAAAAATATAGTGAAAGAAAAATATAATTTTACTTTTTATATTTTAGATTCACTTAAACTCTTTCTTTCACAATTTTCCAAATCAACTAAACATGGGATTTATATTTTAGATTCACTTAAACTCTTTCTTTCACAATTTTCCAAATCAACTAAACATGGGATTTGAATCATTTTAATTCTTTCTGTTTTCTTTCTCTTTTCATTTTTATCATCAAATCTTCCAATCAAATACAACTTTACAATGTGTTTGGATGGAGAAATTGAAAAAGAAAAAAAAAATAGATAAAATGTAAATAAAATATATCTATTTTATTTAGTTTTACACAATTTTTTTTTTTCTTCTTCTAAATCTCTCGACCAAACACAGCCTTACTAAAAAAAAATCATAAATGAGGGAAAAAGATCTAGAAACATTTAAATTAGTAGTACTGCTGTTTGGACGTGTTAAGAAATATCAAAGACGAAAGTCTGCTATTCTAGAAAACGCGGAGTCAAGTACCCCAAATTTTAAAAATTCTGACTAACCAATTTAAATTAGGAAAAATATCAACAAAAAAAAAATGAAAAATAATCTCAAAATCATAAAAGTACAACACTTATTCGTAAAAATTAGTGTATTAACCACTTACACTTTCATGAATTTCAAATTATTTTCTCAATGTCTCACTTTTTTGATATTCTCTTTAAATTATCAAATGATATATATATATATATATATATGATATTTGTCAATTTTACTGATCAATTGTGGTTATCTAAACATGTAATCCATGGACAAACCACAGATACAACAATGAAGAACTCAATATTAGATCAAGAAGTACTAAACCTTCAGATATTGGAAATTACAATTCCAATACTTAAATTTGAAAGTTGTTCACAAAGTTTTCGAGCTTATTGTCTATTTCTCTGGCAATGATTCTCTTGGGAAACATGGAACAATAACATTCTTACTAGTAATAATCATACTAAAATTCCATTTATCCAAATTCATAATGGCAGACAGAGAACACACCAAAAACAAAAGGCACTAGTAATATTCAGATTGATGGTTTTACTACCTATGAGCAAGAAAGTAGTAAAAAGCTAACAAAAGCAGGATCTGGCAAAAGCCATATTTTACATTATTTACAAAACCATTGTATACTTTACATCATAAAATTCGCCCGAGTGCGAGTGCTGCAAGATTTGAAAACAGAGAACTCATATATACACATTTAAGACTTGTATCTTTCATAAACTTCACTTTTTCCCTAATCAATTCTCCTTGAGCTTATATACAGCGTCCACATATTCTTCCGTGTCCCAAAGGAAAGAACCAAATGCAACAGCCTCCAAAACTATTCTCTTGAGGCTCGATAGTGAAGTCAAAATCACCTCATTGGTCTCAATCAAACCCGTCTTCTCATCCCCAAAAAGTGCGCAGCTATGCTTCTCAACTAGATTCACAACCTCCTTTGTTTTTGGCTTTGCACGCATCTGCAATGTCTCAGGGTCAAATCCCATTATGTACCGCCTCAGTTTCTCACGTTTCTTTCCTCGGCTACATGAATCTTGACCCACCGATATGGACTGTGTGTTGCTAATGCGCCCAAAGGCAATATTCTTTATCCCACACGACCACAATTCTGACTGTGGAAGGGGGTTTCGACATGTTATTCCAAGATCGCAGTTGGCCTCAGCAACACTTAGTTCAAGGTGGTGCCTCAAGGAGATGGACTTCAGAAAATACCCATACAAGATGGAAGCAGCATAGACTCCGCAGAGCTGGAGTCGTGGAATCTGAGTTGTGGCCCAATTGTCTGTAACATTAGAGTCTGCCCTCCAGCCGATGACAGCGGTCAGATGTTCCCTTATCATTTCTAAGACCTCAAAGTTGTGAATAGACTCAAGCTCCCAGTCCTTGGAAGGCCATATCTCTAGTCTGCCATTATAAATGCATCTAGAGAGCCTTGGAACCAAATGGACTCTGATCTCACTAAATTTGTGTAACACTAACATATACATCACATCTTCAACTGCAATCTCACACTCGTGCTCTCTCAGTTCTGCAATCCTCCTGGATTCAGAAATATCTTTGAATAAGTAAGAAATATGAAAAATGCAGCTTCACTTCAGTAATGTATAGTTAGAACAGTCCAAATATTCCTGAAGTTCAGCGTCACTGGTCTACACTAATATAACCTTTATGGTCAAATTGCAATGTATGCAACACTTATGCAGGTAATTCCTTTATTAGCCTCCCCTACACTGTTGTGACAGTATTAATGATTGCTAAGGTGCTTTGCACATGTCAGTAGCAACCCAATAGCCCAACTTTTCCAGAAGCCTCAAATACATTGAGTGATACATAGGATGACTTCAAAAGAAAACATGTATGGAGGCAAAACAACACAAAAACACACACAAATGCAGAGGACAATGCAAATTCCACCAACATTTACTATAAGGGCTATTGAAGGAAGACACTGAGCCCTTATCTTCGATGAAAATATCGCCTAAGAGTGCCTCTTATCAGATTCAGAGCTTTCTCTGTTTGGGATCAGCTAAAAGAGCCATACTTTTTCTGTACTTTCTTTTTAGTGAATTTTTTTATTTTATAAATTTGTGTTAAAAAATTTTACTTTTCAAGTTCATCCAGTGTGGAAGGATCTAAAAAAAACAAAGAACAAAGAAAAAATCCAAAAAAGTTCATTAAAGACAAAAAAAAAAATAAAAAAAAAAAAAAAAAGTCGACCTTTAAGCTTTTATTTTTATTTTTGTCTTTAGTGAACTTTTCTCAAAATATATACATATATATATATATATATATTTCCTTTTCAAGTCTGTCTAGTGGAGTTGAACTAAAAGTGCAAAGCTTTTGATATTTTTTAAAAGAAACTCACTAAAGAGAAAGAAAAATATCATATTAACAATACCACTGAAGTAGGAACACATATATCTCTTATGCAAGATGGTTAGCCATGTGCCTTTACTACAAAGGTTATCAAACACGAGAATTTTACTTTCAACTTCAAGCAGTGACAGTACAGCAGACTTAGACCAGGACAACATTCCAGAACCAGTACCAGCCCAGAAGGATGTCCAACTTGATGACTGGGTACTTCAGAACAAGAAAGATGGGTAATAAAGGTTCTCACTCATGATCATAGACTCATATCATTATGTAACAAAAGATGGGTAACACATGAAAAAACTTTGTCAATTATGACTGGCCAAGAAAAGCACTGAAGTACCAGTAAACTCTGAACCCTCCAAGTTTTTCAAGTCTCATACACATTGGACAAATGTGATACCAAAGCCCTGTAGCGTGGGAAGAAAAGCATCCCCTTTCATCCATGCCATTCTTAACGAGTTCAATCCTTCTCCACACTTTCCATTCAAGTTACAAAAAGATTCAAACCTATCTATATCTATTTGAATGAAATTAGATGCCATGTCAAACAATATTAGCTGAAAAAAATGCAATGTCAAACAACATGTAGTTTGATCTGATGTATATAATTGGGTGTGTGTTCTCAGCCTTCATTTTATCAATCCTTTCTTTATGGTGATAAAATACTTCCCAAAAAAGCAACCACTATTATGGCTGATAAAACCACTTCCAAAATGCAAAATCCATAGCTCAAGGAGAATTTAATTTCTAAAGGCGGGGATGATGCTCATGTAAGTTTTCCGAATAAGAACTGTATATTCAATTGTGTAATTTACAAAGAGTTCATCAGTTTATATAGTCCTAAATCTATGACTGAAAAAGGAAATACAAACTAATTCCTTTTTACAAACTAATGCCATATATACAATATATTCTCACACCCCCGCTCAAACTAAAGGTGTTTTAGCAGAAAACACTGAGAGTTTGCTAAGAAGAAACTGAAACCAAGAAGTACTGTGAGTTTTGGTGAAAAAGTTCGCAAGTTGCAAAGCCGAGGAGACGAAAGGAAGTGAGATAGAGCTAGACTGCAGATGCTGTTGGACAAAGTGACAATCAATCTCAATATGTTTCGTTCGTTCATGGAAGACAGTATTGTGGGCAATTTGAATAGCACTGCGATTGTCACAATAGAGAGAGGTCGGAGAAGACTGAGGTACACCCAAATTAGAAAGAAGACAACGAAGCCAAACAAGCTCAACAGTAGCATGAACCATAGCACGTACTCAGCTTCGGTAGTAGAATGAGTAACAACAGTTTGTTTTTTACTTTTCCAAGAGATCAAGGAATCGACAAGAAACATATAGAAACCAGAGGTGGACATGCGATCATTAACATCAACAGTCCAATTGGAATCAGCAAAGGCCACCAAGTCTAAAGAGGAAGTAGAGGACAACAGTAAGCCCTGAAAGATAGTACCCCGGAGAAAGCAAAGAATGTGAACCAAAGCAACCCAATGGGTAGAGCGAGGAGCAAAAACGAACTGATTAACCACATGAACAGTATAAGCAAGATCAGGGCTAGTGACAGTCAAATAAACATAACAACCCACAAGCTCGCGATAGAAAGTGGGATTATCCAGAGGGACACCATCAATACAGTTGAACTTCACATTAAGCTCAATAGGGGTATCAGAAACCTTAATATCAGTAAGACCGACACGGTGAATAACCTCATTAGCATACTTGGCCTGAGACAGAAAATAGCCCTTTAGAGAAGAGGCAACCTCAATATCAAGAAAATACTGCAATGGACCCAGATCCTTCATTTCGAAGGTGTGGAAGAGATGGTACTTGACCTCAGAGATAGCAGAAGAGTCAGAGCCAGTGATGGTCATATCATCCACATAGAGCAAGAGAGCAACAAAACTAGCCGAGATATGTCTCATAAACAAAGGAGAGTCGGAAGCAGAAGGATGAAACCCAAGCTCGGTAACAGCAGTCTGAAAGTGATCATACCAACCACGAGGAGATTGCATCAAACCATACAGAGCACGCCGAAGATGACAAACCTGTCCAGAGGAGTGAAGAAGGCCAGGAAGAGGACGCATATAGACCTCCTTAGTGAGATGACCGTTAAGAAAAGCATTCTTAGCGTCCATCTGATAGAAAGGCCAATGTCGAACAGCAGCAATAGAAATCAAGGTACGGATAGTAGTCATCTTGGCAATAGGGGCAAATACCTCCTCATAATCAATACAATACTCCTGCGAGAAACCCTTAACAACCAAGCGAGTTTTGTATCGCTCGAGAGAATCATCAGAATGAGTTTTGACTTTATAGACCCATTTGCAACCAACCAGATTCTTGCCAGCAGGCAAAGGAACCAACTCCCAAGTGTTAGTCTTCTGCAAGGCAAACAACTCATCCTCCATAGCTTGAACCCAATTAAGATCCTGACAGGCCCCTATGTAAGACTAAGATTCTGAAAAATAATGAATAACAAAAAAAAAATATGATAGGAGGCAGAAAAACATGTATTAGACCAACCCAACCTGTTTGGAGGACGACGCTCACGAGTAGAATATCGGTGTGCAGCAAGATCTGAGTCATCAGAAGCAGGAGGATCAACAACAGAGGTAGAGACAACTGGTAGAGGAGGAGCCTTGCGACAAGAATAAACTAACAGAGGAGGAGGAGAAGCCGAAGGAAGAGAAGCAACCAGAGGTGAAGCAGGAGGAGAAGATGGAACAAGCTCAGGAGGAACAGTGGAGATGTACTCATCAGATGGAACCTCAGAAGGAAATAGATCGATATGAACCAAATCCTCTTTGGAAACTGGGACGGTGAGAGGATGAAGCTAAAAGTAAGGTAGACGTTCGAGAAAGGCAACATTGTGGGAGACATAAAGGCGACGGAAAACAAGGTCATAACAGCAATAACCTTTCTGAGTGAGACTATAACCCAAAAAGACACATAGGACAGACCGGGCATTAAGTTTGATCCTATCTTTATGGGGTAAAAGGACAAAATAAATAGACTCAAATACACGAAGGAGGGAGTAATTAAGAAGTTAGGAAAACAGAGCCTCATAAGGAGACTGACCAGAAAGAAGGGGGATAGGCATACGGTTGAGAAGAAAAGTAGCAGTAAGAACTGCTTCACCCCAAAACGGAGCCGGAACGGAGGCAAAGAGAAGGAGAGGCCTAGTTGTCTCAAGAAGATGACAGTGTTTACGCTCAGCTCAACCATTTTGGATAGGTGTATCAATACAAGAAGTTTGGTGAATGGTACCCAATTTGGCCAAATATTCACAGAATTTAGTTTTAAAATATTCCCCACCCAAGTCAGACCGCAACAATTAAATAGTAGACCCAAACTATGTAGTGACCATATATTGAAAAGTACGGTATATCTGGTAGAAGTCAGACTTATAAGTCATAAGATAAACCTAAGTGTAACGGGTGCAGTCATTAACAAAAAATACATAGTATGCAAAACCTCCTTTGGTGAGAACAGGAGAAGGGCCCCAAACATCAGTATGAACTAAAGAAAATAGTGTATCAGATATAGAAGTACTTTTATGAAAAGGTAAGGCTATCATTTTGGCAAGTTTACACCCCCGACATTCAATAAGTTCACGAGGAGAAACTTTACCCAATATACCCAACTGAGCTAAAGACCGTAAGCGATCAGCAGACAAATGCCCTAATCTAGAATGCAACAAGTAGAAAGGACTAGACAAAGAATCTAACTGAAAAGAGAAAAAAGCAGTCTGAGAGGTTGCCATAGGCAGATGCAAGCTCTCCACCACATAGAGGTCTCCAACTCTACGGCTGGTTCCAATCTGCTGCTTAGACATCCGATCCTGCACAGAACAGACAGAAAAAGAAAAGATAATATCAAAACCAGAAGCATCAAGCTGACTGAAAGATAATAAGCTGACAGATAACTAAGGAATATAAAAGACAGATGGAATAGAGACAACAGACATAGTAGATGGTACGACAGACCCAACAGATATAACAGACATACCAGACCCATTAGCAGCATTGACAGTAATAGGAAAGGAAGGAGGAGTATAATTTTGAAGAAGGGGAGATGGGGAGTCATATGATGAGAGACACCAAAGTCAAAAATCTAGACAGACGAAGAAATACTTGAAGAAGACCTAAACAAACCTGAATG